CTGGACTCTTAAAGTTTTTGTGAATGTTTATGATGCAGATAGCAATGGAGGATGCATTAGAAGTGAATTATAAGAAACATAGGCCACATCCAAAGTCAAATACAGCTATATTTAAAAAAAAAAAAAAAAGTTGGTATTTTATACACTGACAAAAGTCTTGTCGTCGATTCCAGTTGTAAGAGTAACAAATCATCACAAATTCTGCAGGAGACCTATTGGAACCCACATGGACCCAAGATTCTCACAGATCAGTCAAGTTTGGTGAAGGAAAAATCATGATTTGGGTTTACATTCAGTTTGGGGGCATGCGAGAGATCTGCAGAGTGGATGACAACATCAACAGCCTGAGGAATCAAGACATTTGTGCTGCCCATTACATTACAAACCACAGGAGAGGGCAAATTCTTCAGCAGGATTGCGCTCCTTCTCAAACAGTACTTCAGCCTCCACATCAAAGCTCCTGAAAGAAAAGAGGGTCAAACTGCTCCAGGATTGGCCAGCCCAGTTACCAGCCATAACCATTATTGAAGATGTCTGAGGTAAAATAAAGGAGGAGGCATTGAAGAGGAATCCAAAAAATCATGATGAACTCTGGGGTCCTGCAAGAACACTTTCTTTGCCATTTCATATGACTTTATTAATAAGTTATTTGAGTCATTGCAGAGATATATAGATGCAGTCCTCCAAGCTCATGAGAGTCATAAACAATATGAATTCTTTTTCCACTGCACCATGACTTTATATTCTATACTGTACACTATTTTTGTGAAGAGACAATACTTTTGTCTAAGCAAAGTCAGACCTTACTGTCCTAGCTAAATAATTAAAAATCAAGGCATGATCATATTTTATTTTGGTAAAATAAGCTTAATTTAGAGGCCCTTGCCTTGCCTTGCATATAGGCCACTTCTGATACCAAATGATCAACAAGAAGTCAAGTTATTATTTGTTGTTCTTAAAACTTGGATAGGCGACAAGACTTTTGTCAGGTAGTGTAAGCATTTTGCCAAGACTTGGATAAGTCTGAAAATAATGCCTAGCTGTTTTCGAATGAACAGCCACTAGGTATTTTTAAATGTAATAATAATATAATTGGTCCACATCTTGATAGTACTACACCACTATGTTACACAACAATGAAAACAAATACAACAGCAGGATATATGCTAGCTTTACAAAAAAAATGCATTCATCACGTTCGTCTTGTGGTGGTTTGTATACATGCATATGTGCATGCGTCATTATCTCCATTTTTGTTTATCTCTTTGGGAGAATTACAGCACCACATACTGGTCTGCCATATAAACTGCTCAAATTTATTGTCATTTCTAGTTGGTTTCAGTAGTTTAGTGTGTAGGCAGAAATCTTTGGTAATGAGCCAAAAAAAGTTTCTATGGCTTTGTGTGGTAGTAGTCTTGGTGCTTTTTTTTTTTCCTTTCTGCTACAATTTCCATCCCTTCAAAGCCCTCACTCCAGAGGATAAACCCTTCAAAGAGATCAAGGCTCAGGGTTGAAACTTTAGAATGGAACACAGCTTTGATAGCATTCAGTAGATGAGGCTGATGTGGAAGTTTAAGGATTCAAAAACTAGCCTTCTAGAACAGAACTGGGATTTATTGCGATCACAATCACAGTTTGTACCCTTGAGCAAGACATTGATTCCTAGGTTATTACAGGGGAAAACTCTCTAGAAGTTGTTTGGGATGAAACTCGATAAAAGTTTCCTCTAAATGGCAAGTACTGAGTAGCGAAGGATAAAGAAAGCTTTGTGAAGACCTGAGGCCTTTTCTCTCAACTGTATCATAAAAAGGTCATTACGTTAAGCTTTTCAATAGTATATTGAGGCCACCTGGTGGTCAAAATAATGAATAGCGTCTACCAGGCTAGAGTGTCATCAAGGTCTTTTTGTACAAAGAATGATAACTGTAAAGATAACTGTAATAAAAACTGGATTGTTGTCGACAAATGTATTGTAGTTACACTGGAGGTTTATCATCTAATAATAATAAATAATACATTTCATTTATATAGCGCCTTTCCAGAGCTCAAGGACACTTTACAAAAGAATGTGACTAAAGGAGATAGTACAAGCAGATAATTGTAGACAGCATTAGATACACAAACATACAGGAAGTCCAATATAACAAACTGGCAGTACAAAAACAAGTGTGGTGGATCGATAAAGTGGTCAGTTTGTCAGATCAGAAGTGAAGCATTTAGAAAATAAGTGAGTTTTAAGTAAAGATTTGAATTCTGAGATATTGTTAGCAGAATGGAGTGAGCGTGGTAGAGAGTTCAGAGTTTGGTTTCAGCGGGGATTTGATATTAGTAAGACTGTTTGGTTTTGATTGTTTCTTTGCTTTAGCGCCACCCATAGCCAGTCTTTCTAATTTAGGTTTTTGTTTTGGTTGTGAATTGTAAATATTGTAAATAGCTCACTCACTGCTTTACTTATCACCACTAGTAATAAATCACTTTATTTGCACAGCAATTCTTGTATGTGGTCATTACTTTGAGTTCAATTTTCTTTGAGTGTTTGTTTGAACAAAATCCTTGATCAAGTGTGCAACCCCACTTCCCTAGACTGCCCAGGGGTTGTAACAGGGTGCAATAACACTAAATAATCTGCCCCCCCATTGAAGAGAGGCGGTACCAAGGGACAGCAAGAAGGCCAGAGTTAGCGGAACGTAATGAGTAGGCATGGGACGATAACCGTGTTTAAAGTATACCGCGGTTTGGAAAAGTCAAGGTTTTAAAACGAAGTCCACTGCAATGCCATTCCTAAGGTATGTGTAAGAGTTTTTTATTTACTTTTTTTTTTTTTCGGACAACAGTATCTCCAGCAGAAAAGATATCCAAAGATGCCATTTTAAATTGTAAAAAAAATCTGTGTTTTTGAAACATTTACATTTAGTCATTTAGCAGACGCTTTTATCCAAAGCCACTTACAAATGAGGACAAGGAAGCAATTTACACAACTATAAGAGCAACAATGAATAAGTGCTCTAGGCAAGTTTCAGGTGTGTAAAGTCTAAGAAGCAAAGCATTAGTAATGTAAGTTTTTATTTTTATTTTTTAGTACATTTAGCGGTGGAGCCAGAGAGGCAATTGTAGATTAGGAAGGAAAGTGGAGACTAAATAGTTAAGTTTTTAGTCGTTTCTTGAAGACAGCGAGTGACTCTGCCGTTCTGATGCAGTTAGGGAGTTCATTCCACCAACTGGGCAGATTGAATGCAAGAGTTCGGGAAAGTGAAACAAATGAAGACAGCTAAAGTAAATGATTCATTTGAATTATTTAGACTTGTTTACTGTTCCAAAATATTATAAATGTTTCCCAAATTAAAATATACTGTGTTCAAAGGGGTAAAATGTTTTGTTTTTTACCCAGATATTAAATATATATATATATATATATATATATATATATATATATATATATATATATTTAAGAGCAGTAATTACAATACCGTGAAACCGTGATATTTATATTCAAGGTTATCATACTGTCAGAATCTTATACCATACTGTCAGAATCTTATAATAAGCAAGTAGGGGTGTAGGGGTGCATCTGCCATTAGAAATGCTTGTGTTTTGTATAACAGCCTGGATTCTTGATTATTTTAAATGGGGCGTAGACTCTTTCTTTCTTTCTTTCTTTCTTTCTTTATTATTCACTTCTTTATTTTTAAACATGACATCCTTACTGAGAATGAGTCTTTATAGATGAATCACATGAGAAAATAAAAAAGAACCTTTATCAGTGCTGTAAATTGGCACAAATTTATTATTATGCAAAACCATTATTATATAGTAAATTAATAAAATCTCCAAGTTATCTGTTTTAATTCTGCCCCAGTATATGTTTAAAAACAACTCTTGCATTTATTTTTGGGCTTCTGCCAGAAACACCCTCATACACTATCAGCTAATCAACAAAATGTAAAGCTAATGTGCGCCATCTAGTGATGATACTGGAGTTGCTACAGTTGTTTAAACTTCTACATTTTATACACGGTCAGAATATTAATTGTCATTCACTTAGTAAAAGTAAATAAATACCAATGACTTGAGGCCAAGATGAAATAAGTTTTCTAAAAAACATTTCTGCTCCACTGTAAAAAAAAACTTTTAATTCCGTATTTTGTGTTTTTCGTTTATTTATGGTTGTGAGTTGCATTACAGGATGTTGATCTCTGCTCTGTCGACTTTTGATGCTGAAAATTTAACTCTTTAGTTTAACAAAGTGACTTTTATTGACATCTTAGCAGTTTGAAATAATATAATGTATAGGAAGTAATATTTCGATAAATAAATCTGTTACAGAAAATACTGGCAACATAATATACAACACAAACCCATACAATATGTCACTTCAAACTATTGAAAATCTTCATAAAAGTTACTTTTTTCGACTTTTTAACATGTTGGTTATAAGATAAGTTGTTGGAAGAAAGAGCAAGGTCCCATGATGCGATTCAAAAGCCACAGTAAGTTGAAAAAACATGAATCAGAATATGAAAAGACATGCAATTTACTGCTATTTTTACAGTGTATAACCATGTCAAGGAATTATTCAATAAAGGAAAAGAAAACGATTGTTTACATAGAGAACATTCCACCCTCGTAGGCCCACACGAAATCTATGCACGCAGAATTCTGCAGATTTTCCGGACAATTCTGCAGATTTTCCACAGCATTCCGAAGATTTCTGCAGATTTTTGGCCTATCATTAATTCTGTTTATTTATCTGAGTAAATGTGTAAATCTGAGTTTATTCAGTTTTTATTCAGTAATTTATTACTTTTTATTTCATATATTAAGGTTTTAGTTATGATACTCCGCTGGATACTCCCAAAATAATTCCGCAGAAATCCGCAGATTTTTACCAAAATTCTCAGCAGAAATAGCAAAAAACGTCCGCAGATTCTGTCTGGCCCATGAGTTAAGACTTAGATTGTAAACATTTCACTTTGTGTCTAGTTTGAAGGACATGACAGGAGTTGTCTTTTGTTTTGTTTTTTATTCAAAATGGCTAAAAATATCTATAACCCAAAACACTTGATTTATACCAGCTTGAGAAAGCATTTATAATACAAAAATGATATGATAAAATAATCATCAGATTTTGCTATAATATTGAAAGAACAATAATGGTAATCCACAAACGATGCATAAACATTTGTATTGTTTCCAGATATCAAAAACGTATACATTATAAATAACAATCCACAATAATTTAAAAAGTAGGCTACAGATGCTAAAATGGTATATGTGTTTGTTTTATCATCGTCACCATTGTTATCTCACCAAAAGTGTGAAAGCTAGTTGTAGTAGGAGTTCGTTCCCTCATTAAAGTCTTATTATAATGGGCAGTTGGTGTTGCAAATGTCCCCCGACTTGAAGAGGTGGTAGACGTTAACCAACGGAAACATAATGATGGAGCCCAACAGAGAGCCAGTCTGCACTGCTGCTCCACACCACACGAGGGCGCTGTGACTCCGGTCCCTCAAAATTACACCCACCATCACCTTCACATAGGACAGCAGACCCGTGAAGAAAACCCATGATAAAACCTGAAAAAAAAAAAGAAAAAAAGATTAAAACAGAGATGAATGAAGTAGTATCTGAATGCAGCCTTTATGATGCAAGCTGAGATTGAATCACACAACGATGCAATGTCAGACACTATGCACTTAATGGAGTGAGTGATGTCACTGTGACCAGTAGGGTTAGGGGTGGGGTTAGGTGAGCGCATTAAAAAGCATTGGATGCAGCTCAGATTGCACTGCACCAGGTCTGCATCCAGACCCCTCTCGATGAATGTGGTGTCTATGTGGTGACTCTATGTAAATTCATTAACCTTTTCATGCACAATGTCCTCATTTACGAAAGTTAATTTAGTAACTCAGTTTAAGGTTAATTTATAATGGTAATTTTTTATTTTTTTTCAAATAACCTAAGAGCAGTGTCAGTAGATTGACAACAATTTTAACAACAGTGGCTACCTATATTGCATTCAAAATATTGTTGCTTGACAGGCCCATAGCCAGAGTAGGTTCGGGTGGTTCGAAAGACCCTCCCCTAATGACAAAGGTCCAGAATTTGTCCCATACATGAGCTCATTTATCTTATTTTGACTGCTACACCATCATAAACTGTGAAAATAACCCATTAAAAAAATGCATAAGGCCAAGCTGAATCCTCTGTTGACCGTCACATTAATATAAAAAAAAACAGCTAATCAGTTTTGTCCAATACAAACTATCATTATTCATGAGTCCAACATCCAGTTGTGCAAGAAAACGTACAGTCGGATGTAAAAGAAGTCACCTTTAGCTACTGTACTGTTTTAACATAGGGAAATTATGTTTTTACAGCGTAATAGTTACGCAACATATTGGTCAATTTTTTTGTCATTTTGTGACTTATTAACAGACAACGTAACCACAACGTGTGTACTGGTAATTCCATTACCATCCCAATGCCAAATCGCCACAATGTCAGTACTTCCCACTAACGTTACAAAATAATTAAGAACGTCCCAGACAGGTACTCTATTAGTAATATCTTGGTAATTTCATGATTTATTGTCAATGTAACTGCAATGTCTTTACCCAGTAATTTTAAGTACATGTTATACTGTAAGTAAATGCTGCCTGTGCTGTGCTGTGCTTTTTTTTTTATGAAAAACGTATGTTTTAACATATATATATATATATATATATATATATATATATATATATATATATATATATATATATATAAATCAAATA